GTACTAAATTTTAATGAGCTATAAAACTGAATAACAATTTTTTTTTCTAGAAATCGAAATTAAAAACCTTGCAATTGTGTTCAAAAATGTAAGAAATTTTTATAATTTTTGTATAAAGCTTGCAATTTATGCGGTTTTTGTTAGACAACGAGCTATACTTTTATAGAAAAATAATGAACACTAAATAAATAGAAGAAAAATAGTCAAAACTGGTCAAAATGTTGAGGTTCTACCGTTTCGTCTGGGCTGTATGGAACTTTTTAATAAATTTATACTGTCATGGCAGTTTGCCAATTGGTGACATAAAATACCTTTCGTATTCTTCTCGTATGAGTTTTGCTTGTGGTGGTATAGATCGCAGCAAAGATTCCGTCATCGGACTTCAAGATAAATTATAATTTGAATACAAATTAAATTAAAAGTTATGTTTCTTCCGAAAACAAGGATATTCATTTCCGTGATTTTTGGACACAGAAGGAAGCAAAAAAGTAAATTATAAATACATAACAGCCTAAATATTGTTGTGTATTGTTCACTTCAATTGCCGCACAAGAACACAATAAATATTGCCGCAATTTTGAAATTTTCATTGCCCCATGATTGCCAATCGAGCTCTCACACGATTGCCGCAAGTGGGTTGTATTTGATTGGGCATTGTAAGCACAATATCGGCCTCTATTGCCGCATGAGTCAATTTATTGTGAAATCACACGATTGGGGCATAAAATGAGGCAATAATTGGTGTATTGCGGCAATCGTGGGATTTCAGCTTAAGGGTACGTTCACACAGAAAGCGGAGCCGAGCCGAGAGAAGCCGTTCCGATCGCAGTGAAGCTTTCAAATTGCTGCAGCTATATGAAAGTGTTCATACAGCAAGTTCTTTCAGAAGCGTTTTGGAGCTGAAAGCAAAGCAGTTTTGATTTTGAGTTTTCTATATAATTTTTCTGCTTCATGACACTGCTGCAAACAAAGTATCAAAACATTCAAATAAGAACGGCAAGTTTTGTGGTATCTTTGTAGTCGAATCCATTCAAAAAGCTCCGCGCCGCCTCGTGCAGTGTGAACACCTGGAGGTTCGCTTCGCTCCGCCTTTCTTCGCTCGACACCGCTCGGCTTTCTGTGTGAACGCACCCTAAGGTACTTTCGCAAGCCAATTAAAAAAGAAAATTATTTTGTCGAACATTCTTCGGTGACACCTACATTTTTTTTAAATAACTCTACTGATCTTGTGGGTAATTATTAGAATGGGGTACGTAAGGTCAATGAACTTTGACACAAAGAAATTGAATCCCCGGGACAAGAAAACAAATATATCACACCTTAAGATCCGACTGTGAACGCCGAATAGAGGAGTATGACGAAAAATATAAAGGCCGAAATGGCGCTATAATTTGACCACATTGGGGTGGCACTTTAGGCTACTAAAAATTTAAATCCTGTGTGTAAGTAATAAAGCGGGGTACTTGTGGTCAATAAACCTTGCAACAAAAATATTGTTTCCTCGAGACAAGAACACCAAAAATATTTTAGGCTCAGGCGTGTACGGCGAAATTTTTATCTGGTACGGTCCAATTTACATACATATGTATGTATGTAAGCGAAATAAAAAAAAAAATTCTTTAAGTTAGTTTAATTTCTTAATTTACGAATTTCACCGTAGCATTACAGAATATCAGTTTTCCACAGAACTAATTGCATTAAATTGCAACTTTCCTTTAATTTACGAAAATATCAACTGCTAATATAAAGATATACCCTTGCATGCATATGTACTTAAAAATGCGTTCATATACATAAGTAAATGCATAGCGTGGAGCCTGTTAAAGGCGAATATTAAAGCGATCTTGTGTCGCGACATCATTAACCTTTCAACATGCTGATACATATAAGAAGACAAGCAACGCATCTAAAGGTGCCTACGTACTTAATTACAACATGCACATTTATCCACACATTAACTGCTGAAAAATTTCATTTCCGCCGTGCCTCATCACCGGAAATGTTGTCACAATTAAAAATGCACGCTAGTGGGCCTGCCGACATATCGGCAATACCACAACGACATCCTCTCGGCAACACTTTCCACGTGATTTTCTGTGCACACACCGTTTCGCTCTTCGTCGCATGCTTTAACACCAAAAAAGCTGAAAATACATATGTTAACAAAAAAATGTGCGAATAAAGTTGTTCATTTTATCTTCGAAAATTCGCAATTTTTTGTTTTAAATGCACTTCATTCATTTCATTATAAATCGCAGTAGGTTGCAAGGTGCAAGCAGTTAGCAGTGGATTGCAAAATGTCAGTGGCAGGAAGAAACATCGGATGAAATGCAATCGAGATTTTAAATTAACGTAACACTGCTCAGGAAATTCTCTGATTTAAAATTACTTATTTATCTCTTAGTCACAGGATAAATGAGAACTGCGGCGCTGGCGTCACTTCTAGGATGAAAAGAATTCATACTTTCGAAAGAATGTCAGGCCAGGAATTCTTCAGATTGAAGAGGAGTCCAAAATTTTGGTAGAAACAAAAAACACTGTGTTTTCTCGGTACCCCTCAATTGTCGCGTGGGTCTGAATTTACCCCAAGATGGCCTTTTGAATGATGCCTATTTCTCTGCAGAAGCTGTACGGCACTTTTCCTCATACCAGCTCTTCCTGCATGGGTGGTGTGTAGTAGCCAACCACTTATTCCGCAGCGACAAGAAGAGATTGAGAAATATATTCCCACTCTCATTTATATCCGGTCGATGACAAGTTTCTTGTTTAAGCAGGATTCAGAGTAGACTGCGAAAGTTCTCACTCATCTTTTGTGACTGTAGCTTTCCGAATTCGAGTTTTTGTCGCGCCTATCACAACATTATCAATTTGGTTTTCGTCTTCGATCAGGGGACACCCAAATGGTTCTGTGGATGTTTCGATGCTGGTGTATGGTATTATTTAGTCTTTAAGGATATTTTTATCTAATACTGCTGTTTCTTTAGCAAAAATTTCATTTTAAATTGGGTAGGTTCAGAAGACGCAGCAGTTGAGCGCAACCGTTGTTAAAAAAAAATCAGTGATCGTTATGCGTCTTCTGAACGACTTGATACATTAGCTGTCAAATTCAACTCTCAAAGGTACACACCAACATGTTGTCTCAAATGATCAGAAAAATTTTACGATTATTTAACACGCAACTATTCAGTTGATCAGAAGTACACAACAGAGCGTTCAGAAGGTGCAATCGCACCAGTTACTGAGCTGTTGCGCCTTCTGAACGTGCCCATTAACAAATTTTTTTTTGATGACAGCATTTTTTTTTTGTCCCAAAGGTTCACTATCAAAATTGTATCTTAAAAATCAATTACAAATGACGAACTTTGGGCAAACATTATTTTTATCTATCTTGAAGGTTGAAAGGGGTTGCTATCTGTTTGACAATCGAAATTAGTTTGTCAAATGACATTACCATATAGATGATGGACGAAAACGAGATAAGAAAGTTTGATTTTGAAAATATTTTTGAAGATAGATGCCACCTATTTAAATGGCCAAAGTATAATATATTAATATATGCCATTCAATTTGGCACAATTATTAGTTGTGCCCTCATACGTCGTGCCAAAATTAAAATAATACCGTTTTGTAGAGAAAGACATTTTTTAAGTAATTTTCGAGGGAAGTACTACGCTGCGACTAATTGCTTTAGCGCAATCGATTGTTTTTACCTTCCTTTTATTAGATCGGGATGTAACTATGTCATATTGATGCGCCTAAAAGATGCAGCAATTTGTATTCTAAAGTTACATACCTGATGACTGTACGTATGGAAATGATAATAGCGAGGTTTCAGTTTTTTAAACTAGAATTTTTTTATTTTCTGATGAAGTGGCATTAAACGCGGGCCTTCATGGCGTATGAGTTTAATATTATTTTCTGGTTTATATTTCATACAAATAAAACAAGGAATCGTTCAATTTGACAATCAATTACGAGAAATAAATTAGTCGCAGCCCAACTCCCCTGACAAAGCTTCAAAGCGCAAAATTATCTCACCGTTTGCTTTTATTTTAGAATCGAACACGAAAAGAGAAAGGCGCAATCAAAAGGCGACATTCTTTTGATAGAAACGAAATCTCCATTAGATGCATTTTTTTCTATGAAAGCATATTTTTTTTCAACTTGATACGATGAACGAAAATCGTCAGTTATATAAGCAGCGAAGCGTATTCGTTATTTCAATCTAGATTATAAACCGTCTATGTGCCTGATTTTATTTAAATCTGTTCTCCCGTTTCAGCGTGAAAAAGTAACAAACATTTTTTTTTTTTCAATAAAATATACTTTGTTCGATACTTTTGAGGTTAAATTTCCATTGTTGCGATTTCTCTATATTTTTCCTATATATAGTATATTCCATGAACTTTTGGCTTCAAGCTCCAAAAATTTTAATTTCATTATCTTCTTTCCAACCGAATATCTACAATTTTGAAAATAAATAAGAGATTTTGCCCATAATGTGGCGATGAGGAAATCTGTACATATGCACAAAATATAAGATTGAATTTCTGGAAATTTGTTGAATTCTTCGCATTACAAATTTCTACTGCTTTACGCCAAGTATTTACATCCACAAGTATCTATGTAGAATTAACTGATTTTAAAAATGTTATATTTATGGTATATAGTAAATATATATATATATATATATATATATTTGCAATTTTTTAATAAAATAATAAACTCACTAATCCAATCCTACTTATTTTTTACAAACGCTCACTTGTTCGCTTGCCCAACGAAACCCAAAAAATTGTATTTGAATTGCAAATTTCCTTGATGGCTTACACTTTGAATGAACACGCTGATGTACGAACTGCGGATGCCAATGTGTAACTGTAACGCTACGGACTACATGCAATGTTTCAATATAACAACATGCCATCAATACAACAACACCCCATGAATATGCAACAACTACTATTAATGCTGCTACTCGTTGAATGCATCGAATGCAGCCAAACTGGATGGCGTGAAAACGTATATGCGTATGCGTCGTGTGCCCAATCATCTGCAGGTGAAAGTCATTAAATGGTTCGATTACCTGTGGCTGACCCAAAAGTGTTCCGACGAGGAGCGAGCTGTATCCTGTCTTCCTGATAAATTAAAGGTAAATATGGTCAAACACATGCGCGAATACAAATGCACCCATACATACATACATACATACATATGCACATACGCATGTATTTGTGCGTCATTTATAAGCAGCTATAAATAGCACCGAGCAAGCGCATGAAATTGCATTGCTTTCACTTCGAATTTGCAGCCATTGCAATGGGAAATATTTATGATGTTGCGTATAATCAAATGCTGGTAAAAGGACATTGCACACACTTTCCATGCTCAAATGCCTGGTCGCTGCATATCTACATATATACCCTTACTACACGCACGACTTTTGGCATTTTATAAAATGAACGGCTAGAACTCAGTTGTTGGTTATTGGCCATTGGCCATTGGCTATTGGCTATTGGCTATTGGCGTTCGGAAATTCGAAATGTGGTATCATTTGGCAAATTCTTTTTTTTCTGTTTTTTTTTTAATGCTCTGTTTGCCTACTGCTGACGTAATGAGCGATTTAATGCTTATGCATATACACATACCTACCTACATACACGCTTCACATTTCAAGTCCACTTAGCTTAGCGTGTGTGTATGTTCATACATACGTACATATATATGCGCTCACATTGCCAACCAAATTACTATTGCGTTTGAGTTGATTTACATTTGTAATTGTATTTTCGAAATTTCACATTTCCAGCATGACTTTCACATTTCAGTTCTTATCAGCATTTTTTAACTATTTTTCTTTTTTTTACTCCATTTTCTCGCCCATCCACTAATTCACTTATTCGTATACTTATTACATATTTGCAGGCTGAAATAGCAATTAACGTCCATTTAGATACACTTAAGCGAGTTGAAATTTTTCAAAATACCGAAGCGGGTTTCCTATGCGAATTGGTGCTACGTCTGCGGCCGGTACTCTTCTCACCCGGTGACTACATTTGTCGAAAGGGTAAGTACTGATTCACTTGTTTACTCCTATATAAATATGTATGTATACATATATGCATATAGACATATAAACTTAGATGCACGCATATGCAACTAATAAGTATATATCGATTTGTAGCCATATTGCTTTAAATGGTAATTGATAGTAAGCGCCAAAATTAAATTTCAGTTGGTAATTGAAACGGGCTGGGGCTTCTGGTATATTTTGTTGAAATTTTAAAATGTTATTTTTGCTAACAAAACATAGATGTGCATCTTTTGCGTGTTAGAAAGAATTAGATTCCGACTGGAGTTTAGCAGAGGACAACAACAAACTAGTTGTCCTGGTTGCATTTTCTTATTTTTAATTCGATATATTTTTTTAATGGTTTGGTTTAGATAATAATATATAATAAAAAAAATTGCATATTGAACCAAACCTCTATATCCCCTTGTTATTTGACGCACTGAGTGCGCATCCGAGGCCTGTTAGCCCTCTCCACGTCAGTTTCAAGGTCATTTCAAGGACAAATAGGGTAAAAATTCATTGAATAAACCTGAAAATGCTTCTGAATTTGACCTTGAGTTGACCTTGACATGACCTCTAGATGACCTTGAAGAATCAAGGGTGCCACATATTCGACTTAAGCAACAAAAAACAAGACTAAAAGAATAATTTTTATAATTTTTATTGAATAAATCTTTTTCCTATTTGACCCTCAAATGACCTCGAACCTGACATTGTGGAGGTCAACGGACCTCAGATTTGTATGTATGGTAGGCCGATCTTCTTCTTAGTTTTCCGCTACACAGGTGGGCTGTGAAACCCAGAACCAGTGGGCTTCAGCACCGATATAAGGCAAATCCAGAGCTGCCCCGCACTCCGCCACTTTTCTTGAGGAAGTGCTGTGCCATAGGAGCGGTTTTGTCTCAGCCCGACTGTTCACCTGTTTATTCACTAGGTTGGTGAATAGTAGCTCCGATGCTCTCCTTATGTCCAATACTTCCGGATGCAAAATGTTGCATTAGTTCGGCAACTTATAGCATTTGTTGAGACCAAACCTCGCTTAGACGACGACCGCCCCTATGCCGTTCTCAGTCTTCGACCCGTCTGTGTGAACAGATGCCAGCACTCTTCGTGCCCTCACGCTACCCTTTGACCTCTTTACTGGCTTCGAAGTTCGTCCCAAAGGGCGAACCGGGATCCTGTAGTTAATCCTTCCGGATAACTTTCGTGTTGTTGTTGTTGTAACAGCAAACAGATTCCCCAAAGAATTTTTGACGAGTGTTGCTGGAGTCACAGTCCTTGGCCAGATATAAATCTGGGTTGTTCCGGTTACTTAGACCCGACTGTTGTGACAACTGGGGTAAGTTTAATGCTATACTACTGTGGCCGTAGACCTGCACGAAAATTGTCCCGTGGAACAAAGACTGGTTGCAGTTATTGACGTCATATTCTTTGTCGTCTTTCTTTACTTCTCCATTGCTGTCTACCCAATATACTCTTGCATGCATAGAGTACCACTGAGGCCTTCTTCACACTCTCCTTCAAATTTACTTTCCACGACAGCTTACTATCGAACTGTTTGATTTAATTAAGAAATCAAGTAAATGTTCGCTGACTGCTTTATCCCCCATTCTAAATAAGTTATATGTTTAGCTTCATTAAATTTGTATTACCTTTATTTTTGTTTTGTTCAAGAAGAGCTTTAAATCTATAGGCAAGTTTTGGAAATCTTTATATCTAAAAAAAAGATTTTTTTTGCAGAAAATAAACGATTGAGTTTAGGTTTTTTCCCCTTCTGCTGTTTTAAAGTATGCCCCTTAATAAAGGAGTAGATGGGTAGGGTAAGCAGTACAACCGGTAGATCTATTGTGCATTAGCTTATCACAACACTGAATCCAGCACCAGAGACACTATGTATTTTAGATTAGACCGGCGGTGGAGGAGGTGTGTGTGCTCTTCTATTGGCCACATATGTCCTTAACAGCCCTCCCTTCTTCGTGAAACGGGTTCGCGCTCAAGAGAAGGGGAGGCTTATAAGAACCCGGTATCTCTTTGGATTGTACCCCACTAATAAGCTTTGGCTTGACAAAGTCCCGTGATGTTTTGCCAATGCAGTTCCTTCAGTTCATTGTTTTCTTCACGGGTGCCTCCTTTATTGTATTGGGACCCACCGCAAGGAAGGGTTCCGGCCCTACCGGGGTCGAGGCAGCAACGGGTCAGGCTAGCTGATCAGCTTCTTCATTTCCTTCGACGCCTATATTTCCTGGTATCCAAATGGTATTATGCCCAGTAAGGACATTAAGCTTCTCGATGCAAGAGCAATGAGGATTTGACTTCGAAGGATAGGAGAGCCATAAGTGTCACCTGATTATCACTAAGTATAAGCATCCCCTACCTTCGATAATTCCTACGCAGGTTAATCTCTGCGCATAGACTGATAGCGGAAATAAAGGGGTACAAATTTATAGTTCCCAAATAGTAGTAAAATATGGATCAAGAAACGCCTCTTCTTGTTGACTTTTTTTAATTAAGGGCAAATTCGCCATTTTTTAATTAGAATTGAACCGACAATTGTTCTCGTTTATTTTTAAGACATTCATAAAAACCAGAACTAAAACTTAGCTATACAATTGCATCTAAACATTTCAGAAAAAATCAGAAGATTTGCGCCAATTTCCGAAACACAAAAAAAAAGTCCGAGAAAATCTCTAAAGCTCTGAATAAAAACCAAAAATTGCTAAATATTTAACCTTCCACTATGGACCAGGATACTAACTGACTATCGAGCTTATGGTGAACAAGATTGAAAATGCTGCATGTGTGCATTTTGATAAAATTTGTTTGGTTCCTTACCGAGGAAGTCTTTGTTCTTTTATTCTTAAAAATTAAATCTATAACTTTAAGAATTGTGTACAAAGTAGATTCCACTGATCAGGCAGGCGTGCTGAGAGAGACTCAATGGCCCCCGGCAACATTTTTTCCTTACATATACATAGATCACTCCGCCTATCAAGAGGATAATAGGTAGTAAGAGTGACTGGTTCGTTAGAAATGCTTCGGAAGCACATGAACATTTTTGGAACTAATGTGACCCTCGAAAACTTCCAAGTTCTCGGGATATACTACCGTCTACGGAGGTTAAAGCTAGCTAGCGATACGAAACCTCCTTAATTTGGGGGCTTAGATAGTTAATCGGTTCGAGTAGTCAACTTTTCTCCAGTAGTTTAAAATAGAAAGCAGCGTAGTCCCCAGGCACAAGACCAGTAAATTCTCACGGTACAGCGTCGAGGTAAAGCTTCAGCGCTTCTTCTGCGCTTGTCGTCTGGTAGTTCAGCTCAACTCCTAAGTATCGTTAAGTATCGGAAGGTAATATTTCCATTCGCCGCAGTTCATTGCTGCCTTACACGTTTCAAAAATTTAAACATCTACAAAAAGAAATTTTTTCAATACAAATATTTATTTATAAAAAATAAATAGTATTAACTGAATCTCGAGCTATTGCTTATTTTTATCAAATGCTCAGTTTGCATATGCGTGTTTCTTTGATAGCTTCTGGAAGCACACATTTACTAACAAATATTTTCATTTCATCTATTCTAATCGCTGCTACCCTCCACAATGACAATGCCGCCTCGCCTAATCGCTATTTGTGGGTCCATCGCACGCTGTAACAACAAACTGTTTAACATTCGATTTGGTGTTTTTGTCGCAACCCTAATTGCGCTGCCAACTGTGAATTAACAACAACAACAACAATGCGCACAAAATGGGCGGAAATTGGAAAATTGTAAATTTACACGAAATTTTAACAACGCAACAATGCGAATATACGTACGAATACAACACCCATCCTCGCATGCATGGGAATACATACTTATGCGCACTAACGCTATGCTGGATTGACCGGCCAACCGACTACTCATCATCCTCACATGTTGGCTAATGAATTGCGCGCTGCATTTTGGTTACAAAATTCTGCTGCCAAACAAACTGTCAAATAACACTCACTACCCTCGTGCTTGTATGTGGTTGTGTGCACGTTTGCTTCTTATACAAACACAAATGAAAATGTCCTGCTTCACTCGACGATGACGACGACGACAACGACAACGTTAATGAACGGTCTGCTGGCTTTCCTCCGGCCTCTGTCTACTGCTGCCTCAATTGCTCATTTCCTATGTACGCGTGTGATTGGAAACAAATGGCACCACAACGGAAACGACACCACTCTCATACTAACAATAAATCACCCGCTTGAACATCTTAACCACACCATTGGGATTTTGCACGTTTCTCGATTGCTATGACACTTAATGCTACTATCTTTACTGCTCTTCCCCACCTCATACACACTTGGCCGCCAACTATGAATGATCGCCACCCACTGGACCGACTCGCAAAACGAACAATCAACACTCGACGACCGCAAACCACTGAAATCAACACAAAACCCGCTCACCCGCTCCCCTTCACTCTACTCTACTCTACTCTACTCTACTTGATCGGTGACAATTCGGCGTTACTGTAAACACTCGGTGTCCTTATCCAACCACCATTGCATGCCATCACTCTTATCGGCCGGCAACTACATTTGTGCTAATCAACCGCCGATACAGGTGAGGTTGGCAAGGAAATGTACATAGTGAATCGTGGCCGTCTGCAGGTGGTCGCCGACAATGGGAAGACGGTGATGGCTTCACTGAAGGCAGGTTCCTATTTTGGCGAGATTAGTATACTGAATATGGGCACAGCAGGTAAAGAACTTGGTAAATATCAGTTTTAGTGCGCCAGGCGGAACAATATACACGTAAATAAGAATGTTCTAAAAAAAAAATAGAAATAAAAAAATTTGAAATCCCTTAGCAGTGGATGCTTACTACCCCTCGTAGAGGCATAAAAGCGAATAATAGAAGAAATGCCATAATACACCTATTAAGTTGTGTAACTGTTTTCTCCCCCCGCCCTCCCCTACAAAAGTACATTTAACAACTTTGCACATACAAAACAACAGAAATATTCGCATTCGTAAATTCATTGCACTTTATTTGAAAGAGAAGAAATTTAATTAGATGTGGTTGTTTGTGGCGATATTTGTATGCTTTTTAAATGTGTGTAAGTGTTCAAATTTTTCTTAACCGCTCTACTAGTTTTTCTTTTGGTTATTTCTTGATATTGTGTTACACGTAGCCCCATTCACAAAAACTCCAATTAAAATAATATGATTCACAACATACAGCCATACAATTTAAAAAATGCATTGTGTTACTGAGAATATTTATGTATGCACATTAGGGTGGTCCAAAAAACAAATAAAAGTGAGGATTTTATTGCTCTCACCCTCTAGGATTGTTCTATGCTATAAAAAGAATCGACCCATTTTTTTATTTCAAAAAAAAAAATTAGAGGTCGTCAAAGCGCTCAAAGTTTTCCATGTATTTTATGTACATTAGACTGCATCACCAAAAAAAGTTGCGGTTTTTCCGCCGGGATTACAAAATTTATTATATTATAAGACGTCCACCAAAATATTTCGGAAAAATATTAAGACTTAAGCGAGCTGGACCGATTTGAAAATACCTCCAAAAATGAAGTTTTTTATAAATAAAAATAGTTTCTTAAAGAACTTTTTGAATAATTTTGAATAATTGAATTTAAAAATCTTTTCAACGGAATCGTAAGAATAAGATTTTTGATGCTGTTTTTTTACTTTTTTCAAAGATTGGTTTACGAAAAATATGAATAACTGGGCCAAAAATGTTCTGATATAGACTTATGGGATCTCAGTAGAAAAGTATTTTCACACTATTTTTATTTCTGGCCAAAAAAACGTCATTCGTGTCCCATCTTGTTCATCCTACCTTTCTCCTCCAACCTTTGAATGAGTTGATCAGTAAAGAAATAAAAAGGGTGAGAAAATACCTTTCCAATAACACCTCTTAAGTCTAAATCGGAAGAGTTTAGGTTCAGTTTTTTAAGTTTTTCCTGTACCAATCTTTGAAAAAAGTTAAAAAACAGCATCAAAAATCTCATCATTACGATTCCGTTCAAATTTCTTTTTTTTAATTTTTTTCAAACATTTTTATGCAAATATTTTAAGCTTAAACCGTTTTGGCATTTGAGGGGATTTTTTCAAAAATAAATCTTTAAGAAACTATTTTTATTCATAAAAAACTCCATTTTTGGAGGTATTTTCAAATCGGTCCAGCTCACTTAAATCTTAATATTTTTCCGAAATATTTTGGTGGACGTCTTAGAATATAATAGATTTTATAATTCCAATGGAAAAATAGTACCGATTTTTTTTTTT